TGATAGCTGAGTTCTTAACTAATCACCACCTGGTGGTGAGTTGGACAGACCTGGCAGGCTGCGAGATGGTTGGTGCCTGTCATGGTGGTAATCATCATCAAGCTGAAGAGGGGTCCTTACAGGCTTGGTCAGCCATCAGGTGGTGCCCTCCAGCTCTCACAGCAGTTCACAGCTGAGTGTGCAGCGGCGGGAATGAGAATCACCACCTCCAAATCTGTGGTCCTCAGCCAGAAAAGGCAGAAAAGGGTGCAGTGCCCACTATGGATCACCTAGATCATTCAGGCTGTAACGCCTGGACTGGAAACAAGCCATCCTTTAAATATTACAGCATACCAACAAATGTGTTGTTTGATCTAGAGACTGCACTTGTGGCTGAACAATAAATACCTTTGATATTGATTATATCAGTAATGTAACTACAACAGAAAGTCATGGAAAGCTGAAACTTAGTTTAGAATAATTAAATATGAGACTATGTTTCTGTCATGGCCTCCGTGCCTCCTTGGCTGACTTCAGGCCACATAGTGGCTGTGTCCAAATTCAGGGGAAGGATGCTTCAAATGCCATATTTGTAGACAATGACGTCACAGCGACGCGACGAAGGCTGTCCAAATTCGAAGAGTCCTTCAAATGTGGCGACAAATGCCTTCTTCATTTCCCCGAATTTGAAGGATGGGTCCGGTGTATCCTTCGTGTCCTACCATAGGACCACGGGACCTTAGGACCTAGAGGAATTTTTTTTCTGATAGCAATGGTGGTCGAAGTGGGAGAGGAAAACACTTTCAAATGTAAGTATCTGAAAATCTGGTGGTACAAAAGTTAAATTGTTATAGTGTTGTGTTTTTAAGCTTTGGGCATCTGCATAGACACTTTTTTTTTAAATCAAAATAACCCTAAACCAGCTTGTATGGTGGGTCTCACAGTTTTTTTAGGTTTTGCTGCTTACATACAGCTAATTTTGATTTTTGCAAATTAACCTTTTGGTGATATGTTTTAGGGAACAAATACCAAACGGCTCTATAATAAATAGAGCCGTTTAGGCTCTATAATAAATAGGATTTAGGGATCAACATAGTTGCCATGGTTTCCACTCTTATCTTATTTGTTGTGTGTGACAGGAAAATTCTGGAGAAGAATTCTGGAGAAGGGGAAAAGAACCCCTTGCAGGCCAGAAAGAAATGGGACAACTTAAAAAAACAAACAAACAAAGTATGTATGTGTGTTATCAAGAAGATAATTCATAAGAACACAGGTTAATAAATGTGCAATTACTAAGAGTTGTGGTGTTTTTACTTGCCTGCTGTCATTTTTGATTTCCTCTGCCTTTAGGATTGCAAGTATCCAGGCTCAGGAGAGGGGTCAGTGGGAAGCCCACTGCTGGGTTAGGGTTAGGGTAACCCTTGCCCTCATGGATGAGGTGATAGGACAGAGGCCTTCCATTAAGCCTCCTGTCCTAATTTCCTCTCTCCCTGAGGACACTCCGGGGCCAAACACAGCAGTGGATGACTAAAACGAAAGCAATGAGGAAGAGTGTCAGCCACCCACAACCTTGGCCCACGCACCTGGTTTAATCACCCATCTGCCACAGATCTGCCTGATTGCCTGAGCCACTATTTAACATGGTGGTTCAGTGGACTTCTTGGCTGGATTGTTGAGTAACTCTTGTCAGTACAGCCTGGTTAGCCGCTGGTTCCAGTGTGAAGTACTAGTCTGTTCTAACTGCGTTTCCTTGTCCTCCTGGATCCGTTCCTGTTTCCTGAGTCTGGCAGTGAGGTGTCGAAGAGGACTGTGAAAGTGGAGCGTGAGGAGCGGATGTGTGTAGTGTGTTTTGGAGCTGTTCCCCTTCCATCCCTGGAAATCCCAGCCCCATACATATACACTTTCACCTTTGAACCCAATGTGATTGTAAACAAACTTGTGACTTTTATTCTGAATTCAGCTGGTCTGCACCCGAGTAACAGTTTCATTGTGAGATTATTAAAGTTTAAAAAAAGAAACACCGTACCTTCAAGAGGGCGCAGTGTTGTCCACACAGAACTTAATGTTGTTTGTGATGCTGTCAGTGTCCTCCCATGAGGAGCACAGAGATCTCCCCAGACAGTGGAGCTGAAGCAGTCCCTCAGACCATCTCTGGTTTACCCACAGGCTCAAGATGAACCAAGCTGTGATCTGAGCCCCCCAGAGTCTCTGGTGTGGTAGGTAATGTGTTGGGTGAAGGTGAGCAGAGTACAGGACTAAGAGATATAATTCAAATCGGCAGATTGGAAAAGGCCTGAGGATGCTGTGTTTGGAGTCTGCTGGTAACAGGTAACATCGCAGGCTGTTGCTGCATTTAGCAGAGGGTCGGACATACAAACAGCATGTGGTAGATAATACGGCCTCACTCTAACAGCTAGCAGCTCAGTGACGGGTCTGTCCCTTCTCCTTCGGTTTGCTGATGCAGGATCTGCGACTCTTCCTCCTCAGCTCACAGGGAACATCAGACCGCTCAGTGACATGCAGCACCACAGAGCTACGGAGACCGAACGGCACATCCCTGGTGTAAATAACAGGAGCGTGGCTGCTCACAGTCTCCAAGCACAAGAACCATTAAAAAACTACGTTGTCTACAAAAAGATCTGCTCCTTGTGTGTGAACGCAAACCGGAAGAAACAAACACACAGCACGTCAATGCCACTTGTTCCTTGTTCCAAGTTTTCGAGTTTCATGTAGTGTTTAGTCTTCCCGGGCGATCGTGGCTCAAGAGTTGGGAGTTCGCCTTGTAAT